GCCTGGAAACCCTCACACGTGGGTGGGGCAGCCTGGAAACCCTCACACGCGGGTAGGGCGGCCTGGAAACCCTCACACGCAGGTGGGAGGCCTGGAAACCCTCACACGCCGGTAGGGCGGCCTGGAAACCCTCACATGCAGGTGGGAGGCCTGGAAACCCTCACACGCAGGTAGGGCAGCCTGGAAACCCTCACACGAGGGTGGGAGCGGCCTGGAAACCCTCACAGGTGGGTGGGGTCGCAGGTGGGAGGCCTAAAAACCCTCACATGCAGGTGGGGGTGGCCTGGAAACCCTCACACGCAGGTGGGAGGCCTGGAAACCCTCACACGCGGGTGGGGCGGTCTGCAAACCCTCACACGCGGGTGGGGGTGGCCTGGAAACCCTCACACGTGGGTGGGAGCGGCCTGGAAACCCTCACACGCAGATGGGGCAGCCTGGAAACCCTCACACGCGAGTGGGGGTGGCCTGGAAACCCTCACACGCGGGTGGGGCGGAATGCAAACCCTCACACGCGGGTTGGGGTGGCCTGGAAACCCTCACACACAGGTGGGATCGCAAGTGGGAGGCCTCCAAGCTCTCCCATGCGGGTGTACCGGCACGTGTGCGGGGCGACAGTGACTGCTCGGTGTCATTACCTGGCCTGGTGCAGCCTCACACTGTCCTGGCGCACTGATGGGGCAGGGCCAGGAACTCGGGAACAGGGCGGGACATGGTGTGGGGCTTTAGGTTTTATTTTTATGAGCAGAACACCCTGCTGGCCCGGCTCTGCAGGTTCCCTGTGCTGCGAGGCTGCCGCCCCTCACTGAGCGGCCACGCTGCCTCAGCCTCCCGAGCCCCACAGCACGGTCTTCTGCTTATGTCAGGGTGAAGCGGCTGCTCATGCCCACCGTGCCGGACCCCAGCTACAGCTTCTCCGGGCTCTTCGAGCAGCACCAGGGCGACTTCCAGGTGCTTGTGCAGAGCGATTCTGGCCCGAGCTCACCCGGGAGGGACGAGGCCCCCGGCCCTGGGACTCTTGGCTGAGCCCGCGTCTCCCCGCAGGAGTGGATTGCGGACACCCAGCACGTGGCCCCGTGGAGGAAGGCGCCGGCGGGGGAGCAGGAGCCCGCAGCTGAGCAGACCCTGGAGGTCCAGCTGTGCGGGGTGGACACGCGGCTGCCCGCCGCCCCTTCCCTGCGTCAGGAAGAGGCCCCGGCGGGGTCCCCAAGGCCCCCTCCCCGGGAGCCCCAGGCCGACAGCCTGGTGTCCCTTGGGGGCTTTGCCTTTGTGGTGACCGACAGCGCCTACATGAAGCTGTGACAGGGGACGCAGCCCTAGGACGGCATCTCCTGGCCGGCCTGGACAGTGCGCCCTCCTGCCTCAGCCTCCGGAGTAGCTGGAGTGACAGAGGTGTTTAATGTGGCTTTGCAGTCCTTAGGGCCTTCCATACGGGAAAGAAAAGGCTCCCCCACCTGACCTGTTTTCATTTTCTCTACCTTTATCTTGAGACCAGGTCTCTGGGTAAGTTCCCTGGCTGACCTCAAACCCATGACCCTCCTGCCTCAGCCTCCCGAGTGCTGGCATGATGGCGTGCACCTCCTCTGTCTGGATGCGTGTTGTCCGGGGCAGGAGCCACCGTGTGAGCTGATGCCGTGGAAACATGTGCGTGTCCTGTGCCTGCGTGTTCATCTCCGTGTGGATTTTTTATTTTAGGGAAGGGTCCACAGGGTGCTCAGGGTCTCACTACTAGACTGGAGCCCTAGTGATCCACCTCAGCCTCCCAAGAGCAGGGATTACAGGGTGCGCCACCACGCCCGGTGTCCATTGCCATCTCAGTGTGCCCCGCAGGGATTGAAGCCCGGCTCCTGCGCCTGCTTGCAGGTGCTTTAATCTTCTTATGCGGCCGGCCTTCCGTGTGGACTTATGTGCTTGTGTGTGCAGATATTAGAGGTGTGTGTCTCCACGTGTGTGAATGTCGGTGCACACGTGCCCGTGTGTCGAGGGTGGCCCTGTGCGTGTCGGTGGTGTGTGGGCACAGCACACGCGTGGGTACGTGGGTCTCAGCGCATGTGCACGTGTGTGAGGGCCTGTGTGTGTGTATGGGCCACACGTGTGTGTCCACCCCAGGCGTGCACGTGTCGTGTGGTGTTCTGCGTGTCTGTGCACACACACGGACGTGTGCGCAGACACAGCGTGATTTGAAGGCGCCTTTTCGCGTGTTCTTTGCGACTTCGCTTTCCCGGAAGCCTTTGGAGGGTCTCGAGGTGCGGGCCAGCCAGGCCGCGGGCTAGCGAGACCCGTGTGAAACCCGGAATTAAGAGAGGGAGGAAGGGAGGCGGGAGGGACAGAGCCAGGTCCCGGCCTCTCTCATGTTGGCATGTGCAAGGCGGAGCATCGGGCCAGGCCAGCGAGGCTAAAAACTGGCTTCCTGACCCCAGGACTGGGTGGGCTTGCCTCGCTGGGACTGCACCGACGCTCAGCCTTAAGGCCCAAGCAGGGGACAGTGACGGAAGGCCGGGTGTGAGGCTGCTCCCGCAGGAGGTGGGGGTGGGGAGGGGTGGGGTGGGGTGGGAGTAGGGTGGGGTGGGGGGGTGGCGGCTCTAGGCCCCGGCGCAGGCCCCACCGTGCGCGTTTTGCATGACACTGGGATCCTCCTGCCTCAGGCTCCTGCGCACCGGGCTAAGAAATCGAGTCAGAGTGGGCTCAGTACATGCAGCCCAGCCTGGTCTCCAGCTGGAGACCCTCCTGCTTCTGCCTCCTCCGGCAGCGGGGCTGTGGCCGCATCGCCCCTGACCCCGACGGCCCCCTGCCCTGGGGAGCCCGCCCGGAGTCCCCTGCCCTGGGGTGCCCGCCCGGAGTCCCCTGCCCTGGGGTGCCCGCCCGGAGTCCAGCAGCACCGGGGCTGAGCTCGGCGGAGCTCCGCGCCGTCGCCCCCCGCGCCTTGCCGGGGTGGCGGGACCCCCGCGCTCGCAGGCTCCCGGGCTGCAGTTCCAGGCCGCGCCCGCAGGTGGCGCGCGAGCTCCACGCCCGGCCGTCCCGGGCCGTAAATCGTCCGCGTCAGCACGGCGAGGCTGGCGAGCCGACCCGCGCCGCGGAATTCCAGCGCCTTGGCTAGGCGGATGCTGTGGGCTGCGCAGAGCCTGCGGCCTCCTCCGCAGCTCATTTCCTGCTTTTGCCTGAAAGTCTGGGGAGATTCCCCTGGGCTTTTCTAAAACTTCCCTCCTGCGCCTGCGTGCGTGTGCAGCTCGGGCCCTCGCTGGGCTGTCTCGGGTCTCGGTCCCCGCGGCCACCGCCCGGAGCTCTGGCGGAGGCAGAGGCAGGCAGGTCTCCCAGGAGCTGGACGCCACGGACGCCGCCCGGAGCTCTGGCGGAGGCAGAGGCAGGCAGGTCTCCCAGGAGCTGGGGATGGCGTCAGGGACCTCAGCTCCACCGCTCTGCCCACATCCTGACCCCAGACTAGGGGTAATTGTGGACTTGAGGCCCCTGGGGCACCCCAGGATGTGCTCGGATGGGAGCGGGGATGGAACCCGTAAAGCTAAAGGCGGGCCGACCTGGGGGCCTACCAATGGGCAAATGCACAGGCAGAGGGCGCTTTGTCCACACAGTGGAACATTAGTTAGCCCTCAAAAAGGGGAGCAGGTGGAGGAGGACACTGGGCCCACAGGGCAGGGCAGGGCAGGAGGGGTCACCAGCGGGGACAGAGGCTCCTTGGGGGACTGAGGGCTCGTGGCCCGGTTGAGGGGAGGTTTGCGAAGCTGGGAGGGTGTCAGGCAGGGCAGAGAGCGTTCAAGGGAACAGGGAACAGGCTTTAGGATTAATGGGGCGGAACCGTGTCCCTGAATGTTCACTAACTGATCCCAGAGCCTGAGGCTGCGGCTGTGTGCAGGGATAGAGGGATAGAGAGATAAACTGAGGGTAGCTCAGACTGCACAAGACCGGGTCCGGCTGGGCAGAGGACAGGAGGATGCCCATGAGGGACACGTGGAGGAGCCCCCGTCTCTCGGGCCTCAGGAGGATCCAAGCCTGAGGTCACCAGAGCGACCGTTCTTGTCACTGAGCTGTGAACCCCGACACCCCGAACTCAGAGGAGAGAGGTGGACGGGCGCCGGGTGCGGGGCTTCAGTCCATGGCGCTGTCCCCGTCCTCCGGGAAGCAGAAGGGGCTGCCCCTTAGGGCTCCCCACTCACGGAGGACATCAAAGCCCGGCCCCCCGCACCCCGTGACTCCCCGCGAGGGGCGTCCCTGCCTCCCGAAGGCCGGCTGAGCCCGCTAATCCCAGCCGGTTCTGCCGATTCCTTACTGCGATGAGGTTGTCGAGAACTGTGTGGGCCTCCCCGGCAAAGGGACCCCAGGGGTGCCACAGGTGAGGGCTCGTTCTCCGCGAAACGTGGTGGATTTCGGGGTGGGGGTGAGGCCCGGGGCGTGGGTGGTGGCGGTCCCTGCTCCGGGCCTGTGTCGCCGGCCTGGACGTTAGATCTGACGCTCTAGGGCTGAGTGACACACGGGGCTCCACGTCACGTCAGCCGCCCGGGAAGCTGGGGTGCACGGTGGAGTTTCCATCGCACACAAAAGCAAGGATAACGGGGTCACTCTGGCGGGACGACTCACACCCATGCCCAGTCAGGAGCTACAGCTGAGCTATAAATCGCAGAACAGGCCCGGCGCGGGGCCCACGCCTGCCATCCTGGCCCTGGGGAGGCTGAGGCAGGAGAGTCGCTGCGGGTTGGAGACCAGCCTGCGCTGCACAGCGAGACCCGTCTCAAAACGACACGGGGCACAGTCTCAGGGCGCCCCCGGCGGGTGTCTGTCTGTCCAGGGGCGACTCCTCTGGCACCCCAATGCAGAATCCTGCACTCTGCTGCTCTGAGCAACTCCCTGAAGTCTGTCTCCGCAAGGGAGGCTCCAGGGGACCCTGTCACTGGGCGCGGCATTCAGTGCCCCGCGTAGAGCCCGCATGGCTGCGCTAACTGCGGGGTCAGCGCCGGCGTCAGGAGCTGGGATGTGCCCAGGCCGGGGGTTTTAGGCGCATTTTCTTTATCTGTTTTCCCTCAATTTCTGTTTCCAAGGGCCTGCGCCTGCAGCCCTCTCTGGGCGGAGAGGAGCCCCTGGCCTGCCCTCCGCCCTCCCTTCCTCGGTCCCTTGGCCACGTGCAGAAGACGGCGCCCGGCCTCCTGCCGACCACCTTGCGCTCATGAGAGAAGCCACGCTATGTCCGAGCTCGTGGGTCGGATTTGTTCCACAAAACGCTGGTCTCCAGGCGATCACCCGCCCGCCGTGACTCAGCCTGCCCGCCGTGGGCTGCCCCCTCCTGGGAGCCCCGAAGCCCTCCGGCCCGGCCCTGTCCGCGTGTGGAGCCTGGCAGATTACGGAGGAAGCCGGAAACACTTCTTGGCCTGC